AAAATACAGAAAATAAATTATGGGAGGTTTAGGTAATTCGATTTAATTTTTAGTAGTTTTTTTATAGATTTTTTGTTTTTATTTAGCCTTAGGAATTGCTTCAAATTTAAGTTTAGATCCATTATGTCATTGTAAAAATTGTTATTATATCTTTTATCATAATTATGTCTAAAATTGCTTCTAATATTTTCATTATAGTTAAATTAATATATTAACAATTATTTACAGAATTAATTTTATGAGTTAAAATGTTAAAGAATAGGTCTTGAATCTAAATAATTTTTAATTTTTTTTTTAATATTATGCTGAATACGAATGGAAAAGAAAATAATTTAAAATATATGGCAGATTTGTATTTAAAAAGAAAAGAGAAGGATTTAATAAAAAATTATAATATGATCATAAATATATATTCGCAAGAGGGCGTTTTTAATACTTATTTTTTTTTACTTATTGACATAAGCAGTAAATTATTTTGATTTATTTTTCTATTTAAACTTGTTTTTCTCTTTATTTTAATAATCTATATAGTGTATTTTATGACTTTTTTTTATATCTTTATTCTATAAAGAATCAATTAAATTTTAGTGGTACTTTTCTCTTCGCAAATTATAATTTCCTCTTCTAATTATGATATACTCAGAAGCAAATAAATTCAGTACTAGCCTTTCTAATAAGTTGTTTGTCTGCTTTATGTTTCCAATATATTTGTCGAAAGAAAGGTTCTCTCATATTAACTAATTTATTTCATAGAATATTGATGAAATAAGCTAATTATATCATTTACACTTTGGGAAAAAAAATAGTTGACCTAAACTATTTGAGAAGGAGATTTAAATAGTTATGTGATGTAAAGAATAATTTAATTATTAAAAAAAATTTACTTGTTTTATTTGCTTAGTATTAGCAAATTTATTTCGACATGATTAACCATAAGTTTATTTTATATTATTTCATTTTGTTTACAAAATATATGCAAAAATACTAATTTTCAATCAACACCTAAGCTTAATTTGAAGTCGAAATATTCAAAGTCTTCTCACAAAAATTTGAACCGCAAACCATTATAAGCCAATAAATACCTTCTAGTAGTTGTTGCAGATATTCCTGCACAACAATCATTAGTACAAGAACATTATTGTGGCTTGCTCAACTTACATCCAAGATTTCTTTGATTCAATCAATGATGAAAATACTTATCTCAACCATATATAGTTTTAAATAGATATTCCTGCACAAAACATTAGTACAAGAACATTATTGTAGCTTGCTCAACACTAAATTACCACTAAGATTTCTTTGATTCAATCAATAATAAAAATACTTATCTCAATCATATATAGTTTTGTTTTATATAGATATTGCTGCACAACAATCATTAGTACAAGAACATTATTGTGGCTTGCTCAACACTAACTTACCACCAAGATTTCTTTTATTCAATCAATGATGAAAATACTTACCTCAAACATATATAATTTAAATAGATATTCCTGCACAACAATCATTAGTACAAGAACATAATTGTGGCTTGCTCAACTTATTACCAAGATTTCTTTGATTCAATCAATGATATTCCTGCACAACAATCATTAATACAAGAACATTATTGTGGCTTGCTCAACACTAACTTACCACCAAGATTTCTTTGATTCAGTCAATACTTATATCAATCATATATAGATTTAAGTTAATTTATCTACTTGATCATTATATTATATTTAATTTTTTTAAAAAAAATGTTTTTTTAAAAAAATATTTTTAAACATTCCAAAATTCCAGAACCATCTAAACCTCAAATTTTAATACATATTTTTCAAAAAATATAGATTAAGTTAGTTTGAATTATATTTTTTAAAATATAAATTTTTATTTATACATTACTTAATTTTTTAAACCCTAATATTCATTAATCTTGATACAACAAAATTTAAAATTTAATTTTATAACTTTTATTAATTTTTTTAAATAACATTTTTGGAATTTTAGAAATAAGTCATTCATTCATATATACCCCCTCCCCCCTCCTTTTTTTTTTCTAAAATGGGTATGTCAAGCATTTGTAATGCCTGCCATAGAAATATAACCTTGACCTAAGCTATTTGTTTTTATAAAAATGGGCCCAGGTCAAAACCATGTATAAACTCTGGTAAACCCCCTTCAAATGAAATTTTGTACAACAAAATTGAAACAACTCCCATTGTAACTCAAAATTTTTATCCTGATTTTTATGATAATTTTTTAAAGTGGGAAAAGCCACCAACCTTAATCCACCTACCCCTTAAATCAAGGTCTTTAATTTCTAATTTTTTAACAACAATTATTATGGAAGTTAATTCAAATTTAAATTCCCTTAAGGCTTGGGAGAATCTTTTAACCATTCCTTTTAAAGTCTTAATTAAACCTACAGATAAAAATAAAAAAACTATTTTGCATGAATATATAAAATATAAAATAGACCATTTTTATGACTTAGAAATGGAAAAAAACTTCTTGATGTAAGGGCTACATCTAATTTTGCTCATAAATGCAAAATTATATCAAAAAAAATAGACCAAGAGGACGTATGTGGAGCTCATAAATTAGCTTCATCTAATGATAAATTGGCTCCATTTGATAAACATACTTTTACTTTATTAAAAGAATTGCACCCTCAGGCTTTTCCTGAAGATCTTCCCATCCCTATAAAATCTAATTTAATCGAAATAGGTAAGGAAGAACTAATTAAAACAGTTTTATCTTTTAATAAAAATTCTTCAGGGGGAATTGAAGGTTTTCGACCCTCTTATTTCCAATTTTTAATTAACCCTAAAAATCCTTATCAAGATTCATTTATAAATTCATTGGTAATACTTAGTGAAAATATATTGAACAATGATTTACCTAGTCAAGTTCACCAAATTCTTTTTGGCGCAAGATTAATTGCTTTTTCTAAGCCTGATGGTGGAGTTCGGCCAATTGCAATAGGGTCTTTTTTTAGGAGACTATTAGCTAAGATAATCGTTGAGCGCATCAAACCTGATGCTTCAAAAATGTTCCAAACATATCAACTAGGCTTTGGTACTAAAGGGGGATGCGAAATAGCCGCTCACTCTCTTCGCATATATATCGAAGATCCTCCTCCAGACGCTGTAGTCTGTAAGCTTGATTTTAAAAATGCTTTTAATTCTTTATCCAGAAAAGCATTTTTGAACATTTTTTATAAAAAATTCCCAGTTTATGCAAGATTTAATTGAACAGTCTTATGGCTGTAGGACCCCTCTCAAATTCGGGGAATATACAATTCCTTATGACGAAGGTATTCAACAAGGAGACCCTTTGGGCCCTCTGATCTTTAGTTTAGGTATACATAACCTAGTTCATTGTCTAAAATCCTCTTTTAATTTAGATTTAAACATATGGTATCTAGATGATGGTACCATTTGCGGACCTTCTAAAAATATTCTTGCAGCGTTAGAATATATAGAGAAGAATTCTCTAAACATAGGCCTCACTCTAAATAAAGCTAAATCGGAAATATGCTTTTTAAATTCAAATACTCTCAAAGTCCAAGGGTTTAAAATCATTAAAAAAAGTGAAATTAATCTTCTAGTTTCTCCTTTAAGGAGTTTTATCAACTGTGAGGTGTTCGTGGAAAAATTTTTCGAAGGCTTATCAGGACTTGAAACTATTTTAAACAAAATTCCTTCACACCAGAGCTTTTTTCTTTTAAAAAAATATTTATTTTTACCAAAGATTTCACATATTTTTAGATCTTCTTCCTTTTTTTTAAATAATGAAATTATTAATCGTGTTCATGAATTTTTTAGAAGTTTATTAAAAAATATTTTATAAATTGGAAGATTTTAATTGGGGTTTCTCACAATTACCCTCGATGGTTGGTTTAGATTTATATCCTTTAAATCTTATATCTCTTTCCTCATTTTTGGCATCGCGTTTGATGAATAACGCCATGATAATTTCTTTTATCTCTCCTAAAGATAACCTTTTAAACTCAGCCTTGACAGCCTGGGTATCTTTAGCACCACCTGAAGCTTTCTTACCCACAATCTTAACACACCAATATATTTTCGAACCTTTAATTAAAAAATTTTTTAAAATAATTTCATCAAACCTCCCATTTGGAGTATATTCAACTATTACAGAATGCTGACTGTACTAGTGGTTATGAATGGTTGGAAGAATTACCAAGTCGTAACATAGGTAACCTCTTATCAGATGAACAATTAAGAGTTGCCATAGGCCATCGACTTGGATGTAACATTGTTCAACCACATACATGCATCAAATGTAAAATATTAGTTGACTCCAAAGGGAGACATGGTCTAAATTGTATATATAGTCAAGGCAGGCATACAAGGCATGCAGCAATTAATTATTTAGCTATTAGCCGTTCTCTTACCAGGACCTGAATACCAAACATCCTGGAGCCTACAAATTTATCATTAGATAATGGCTTAAGACCAGATGGCTTAACTTCCGTGCCTTGGTCTTTAGGGAAATCCTTAATTTGGGACTTCACATGCATATCTTCTTTCCCAAAAAATTTAAATCCGGTTGATATAGCTTAGAAAAAAAAATAATGAAATATTTCAAATTCACAAATTATATTTTTACACCGATCGTAATCTCTTCCCTTGGACATATGCCAAGCGGAACTTTAAAGTTCTGAAAAAATATAGGGGATAAGACAAGAGCCCTTACATCAGAACCATAAGAATTCTATTTTTTAAAACAAAACCTTCAAATCACTATTTTAAAATAAAATTTTCATGATTTTGAGAACTTGTAGTCCCACCTCCGTTTTTATATAATATTGTTTTATTTTATTTTATTTTATATTTGATATTTTAATTTTAATATTAATTTTATTTCTATATATATTTTTAATTATAAAAATAAATGACATTAGTATAAAAAAAAGCAGTCATGTTGTAGCACAAATATAGTTTTTATGGTAATACAACGTATTGTTAAATATTTTTTATAGCATTCTTTCACAAAATTATGGTGAGTGAAGATTTAAAAACTAAAAAATATGATAGACAATTAAGGTTTAAATGATAATTTATTTCATAAAATTAAAGATAATATAAGTTTTTCAATGAATGATTTTAAATTGAAAGCCAGTTTTATAATTAATTATATTTTTCTCAAAATAATAATATTATTTGATTTAAATTATTGGAGACTTACACAATATAATATATATGTATAAAAAAATATATAAACGAAAATTTTATGCAATATAATTTGGATTGTTCTTATCTATTATAAATTTACATAAATTAAAGATTGAAAATCTTAAAAATTGAATGAGAAGTGAATTTTTTTTATATTTATCAATGTAAAAATGTTGTGTGAGATGCTATTAATAATATATATACAATATTTTAACATAGATTATGGGGAAATGAGGGTCAAACATGTTTAGAAAGTTCTAGCATATGTCTGCTTAATGCCTCTGTAACTGGAACTGAAATTCTTAAAAATTTGGTTTTAGCAGGTTATATTTAATATTTATTTAACAGAAATTAAACAAAGTTGAGAAAAATGATATGGTTATGATAAATTGAGATTACTTGCCATTTATCTTTAAAAAAATAGTAATCCATATTCCATACTAATCAATAAATTTAAGCTTAGATAAAAAAAATATATTCAGATTTGGTGCTAAAAATAAAAATAGATAATATTAGCTTGAACCTGTAAAAACTGGTTTGAACCTTTTCACATATAAACTTAAAAGAATTAGGTAAAGAAAGCACATTTTAAAATAAGTTATCAATATACCCTAAAAAATTATTTTTGAGCTGTGTACAATATAAATACTTTCAAGATTCTGTTCTCTTAAATTATATTATATTTATAATGAGAAAGAATAAAATAACTGATAACACTTTCTATAACTTGGTTATCTGCCATTGTGTTAAATAGTAATATATAAATATATCTGAAGATAGTTATTGATACTTATCAATCAAAATAAAATATAAAAGTGTTAAGGTATTAAAATGTTCAAACAGTGTTCACAGACTATTTTTGAGGTTTGGTTCAAGTTTAATTGGAAAATATTAAGAGTTCATATTTGGTTTAGGTTCCTCTTAATAATAATGGTTAGGTTTGATTTGGAAACCCATCTAAAAATATTTTTTATTTCAATGCTAATAAATCATCTTTAAATTTGGAATGAACTTCCTAACCTGATCCAAAAATGATAGGATTTTAAAATATATAAATCTTTTTTTAAGAATCAAAATAGAAAAATTTCAAATTCTCCAGATCTAAAGATTTAGATTGACAGACTCTGATACGATTTATATTAATTATATAAAATAATTGGAAATTATATCATTTAATTTTTATTAGGAATAGGAAGCTTTACCATAATAGATGACAAACCAATAATGGATGATGACATTTACAACAATTTTATGATCAATCTTCCCCCTAAGAACACTACTAGTGACAAAAATAATCTTGATTTGAAAGGATCAATCATAGTCAAGAATCTACTGGAATTGAATCCTTACGTTAAAGGTTCCCACATTAATAAAGTTTATATTTTGTCACCATTTTAAATATTTATTTATAATGCTTCGTTTATTCCTTTTTTTTAAACAATATTTAGATTGTGCCATTTTTTAAATATAATTAGAACCAAATTTTATGCTAAATTCATAACCCTTATTTTACAAGAAAATATTAATTTTTAATTTTATTACCCATAAATTTTATATTTTTTAGGGTATAGAATCAATTCTTGAAGAAAAGAATATAGGTTCCTTAGACTGTTTTGACCTGATTATAGCTAGTCACATCAATGACAAGTTTTAATCTTATTTTAAATTTTTAATAATATTTTATTACTCTTCTCTTTTTAATTGTATGGCCACTTCTAAACACGACGTTTTTTCAAAACGTTTTCCAAGGCACGTTTTTCGCAATATTTTTTACTTCCAAACAGCAACGATTTATATTTTACAGCTGATTTTTTAAAAATGAATCTTATAACTAGATATTTTATTATAATTATAAATTAAGTAGTGCTAGAATGTGCATTGAATGCACATTTGGCATAGCTACTGCTAAATTTCCCCTACTTTCTAAAGCTATAGAGTGTTCAGTTGAAAATGCTGATAAAATTATATCTACAATTACTCTTTTACATAATATTATTAATGATTATGATAAAATAGAATATACACCTAATATTTTACCTATTACTGAAAATTTAGGGATCAGTAGATCTTTAAATGCTTCAAGTTCTAATTCAAGAGAAATTAGAGAATTATTTAAAGACTATTTTAATTCTTAAATATATGTTTAATTTAACATTTTATCATTATATATTAAATAAATAAATTACTTTTGTATGTGTATATAAATTAATAAATTACTTTTGTATGTGTATATAAATCACTTATGTATGTGTATATAAATCATTTATTTTAATTTTAACTTATAAAATAATACACGACTATTTAAACATCAACATTTTCTACTATAATATTATTTATATAATTATAAATAAGAGTTTGCACATTAATTTACATGGCGTCCTTAACTTCATTTGGCACCTTCTTTACATTATCAACCAAAGACAGGCACCATAATCTATCTGGGTCATTATCAATTTCTAACATTTTGTCAAAATATCTTTCCATTGGGTCTTTTGTTACTCTAGCCCTTTTTACAGGTCTTACATTCTCTATATTATCTGTGATATTATTTAGTGTCTTTCTTGGTGTGGTGGAAGTTAAGAAATGATAGTGAATCATACCATTTCCATGGAGTGTTAGCTTTTGCAGCATCCCCTGAATGCACTTCTTCTCTCTTTCTCTTTTCCTTTAAATAAGAATCCCTCAAATTCTTCCATTTTAATTTACAGACATTTGGGGATGAATCAAGCCTGATAAATAATAAAGGATAAAAAATAATTTTATTTAAATAAAGATATAAATTATTAAAATTCAAATTCCATGCTTACTAATAAATACTATCTAATTAAAAAGTCTGTTAATTAAAAATTATTATTATAAAATAGTCGATATTTTCAATATAAAGTTAAAAAAAATTACTTATTCATTTCAGTTATATCAGACGCCATTTAATCGTTAAAAAAAATCAAGCTAGTTTGTTATTAAAATAATCGCAAAATCGTATGCATGAAAAAATCGTTTGGTTTGGAAGCACACATCTATTAAGCTTAATTTGTTATTTATCGCTTTGAAAAAACGTCGTGTTTGGAAGTGGCCTATTAGCAGTTTAACATACAATTATTTTTAGAAGTTAATTACTAATTATATAACCCCTTTAGGTTATCGCATATATTCATGGCCACCTTTATGTGTGGGTATGATCTCACAGCCTTTTGGCTTTTTTTAAAGAATTTTTTTTTAATATTGCATACCTGGTCTATTATAATATCATTTAGGCCATGCTGCTCTTGTTGAATCTGGCTACAATAAATCTCTTAAGGCATTTTAAATGCCTTACAGTGGCCATTCTCAATGTATGTGCACTTCTCAATGCATTTTGATAATTGAATAGTGAGCCTAGGTTAGTATTAATGTCATTGATCTAAGGAGATCTGCAACATCTTATAAATTAATTTGATTTAGACCTGGCATACGGGCAAAAAAATTAACTGGTTGGGCATGTGTAAAGACTTAATAGTGATTTTTTATATATTTTGCTTATAATTTTAATGATTCACTTGCTACTATGATCATTCATTCATAAATACCATTTTTTTTCCCCCAAAATTACGTGCTTATTTGTTACAATAAATTCATGGAACCTAAATCCTCATCTCATCATAGTATAGGTTTTTTTGGGGGCTGGGTAACCTTAGTAAAAAAACAATTAAAACTGGGTTGGGCCGGGTACAAATTTGGACCGGCCAGGTTAGACCCTCCAGGTTAGACAAAAACTAAATTCCAACCTGGTCAGGTTTGAATATTTTGTCATTTGTTGACCTCTATTAGCGTAACCTTACAAATGAACCTTTTTATTTTTTTTATGACAAACTTTTAATGAGTGGTGGTAATGATACAATCAATAAATGATATATAATATTAAATTCACCTTCTACCTCAACATAGGGGGGGGGAGGAGTTACAATGTCTTTTGTGCAACTAATGGAGGTTTGAGAGACTTCTCTGTGGTTTGGGATAGAATATAATCGCTATGGCTGTGCCTGTCTACAAGTTTCTCACCAATCCAATCCGATATTACTGAAAAACCGATCCGATACCGATCCGATATTTATATTGATTTTTATTTACCATTGATATCTTTGTATAAATGTCATAAAAATTTCAATATTTTACTATTTTTTTTTTTAAAAAAAACCAACTAATTTTAGCAAATGTTTTGTTGTATTTTATTATCCAAAAGTTAATGATCTCATTTAAAATATTTCCAATTTTTATGGATTGAAAGTAGTCTTGTTATTTTCTTTAACATGATGTGAATTGGAGTAAGTTTTGATCGTTTCCATAATTCATCATTTGATATTAGTCTGGGAGTAGAAAAACGCCGTTCATAATCCTTATGCACTCGTTGATAAACGTCTGAAGTTTCCTGTTATCAGCTTTGCTAATTTCCCAATTCACAGCCATATAATAATATAGGGATCACAGTGGAATTAAAGATTCGTAATCATAAGCTTTCAAAATTTTTTGCCTTCTCACATAGTCTACGGTCGAAGAGTTCTCTGATCTCTGGTATTTGTAAATAATTAATATTTTGCCTTCTGAGTGTATTAACAGTTTGGTTGGAGTTGTTATTCAGTCCAATTGAGGTTCCCCATATATTCCTTTCCAAGATCTTATCTTTGATCATTTTATGATCAGTTAAATTAACACTCGTCATGGCCATTACATCTTTGTACCAGCCGTGAACATTTGAGATGAAAAAATCTATCTGCCATTTGTGACTTCCCCTTCTAAAGGTGAGTCTATTTACCTCTCCACAAGAGAAGAAAGTATTTTCAATTTTGAGATTATTGCTGCCACATAAATCAAGTGATTTTCTTACTGTCATCTCCATTTGGTAGTGTGAGGGCTGCATTTCCAATAATGAAGAACAACTGCCAAAAATTGATGAGCTCCGTTCAAGGGGTTGCTTTGACAGGGAACTTTGGAAAACTACCCAAAGATCACTAAGGAGTGACAGAAGAACTTTCACGGTGTGGAAAGCTTACGAGATTGATGTAGACATGAGAGGTAGTAGACATTTCGACACTTATGGTAAACTTGAGCATTTTTGTAAATCAAAAATCTTTAAAAAACTTCCATCCATTCGATTGGAGAACAACAAAGTTATAATTGATCAGGATGATCAGATGGCGCACCGGATAGATTATTATATGACTATTTTTGAATTTAGAAAACCCGTGAGGATATCATATGAGCAACAAACTACTCCTCATCTCCCTCCCAATTTTCACCGACTGAAATCTCCACCGCTCTCAAGAAACTTAAGAATCATAAAGCTCCCGGCCCGGATAATATCACAGGAGAACATCTAAAAGCGACATCAGATGCCATACTACGTTTCCTGCTAATCATCTTCAATAAAATATGGTCTTCAGGTATGACACCTAAGGACTGGAATTTATCCATCCCTCTGTGCAACATCCCGAAAACATCAAACTCTACCAGATTCTACTATTATAGGGGAATAGCACTCACTTCGACTGCATACAAGATCTTTATGGCTATCCTTAAGATTCGCATTCTACAGAATGTCATTAAACCTCTTCGAAATGTGCTTGGTAATAATAACATGGAACCATTTCTTACTCTTAAAATCATTATCCAAAATGCGATAGATATAAACTACATTTTCTTTTGACGTTTATAGATTTTAAACGGGCGTTTGATAAACGTCAATCAATATTCTTTCTGGAAAATACTATCCAGAGGTCGGGGTCTTGATACAAACATAATTAAGATATTAAAAAACTGTTATAACAATCTGCCTACCTAGAAAAAACACAAAATTTAAAAAGAATGAATGTATGTCTTCACAATTTCTTTCTCGCAGGTCTCTCTCTGTTTTCCTCTTTTTACTAATCGTCACCTCATATATAACGTAACCAACTCTCATTATTAAACTGATTAGGGGAAGTCGGCTATAGTGGGAGAACGGAAAAGTAATGTGTGTTATTATGGGTATGAAAACGAAACAGGAAGAGGGGTAGAGTGGCGTTTGTCTTCCTCTTTTTCGTTTATTTGCGGTATAAAATAATTTTAAATTTAAACCTTTACCCTTTCCTGACATGAAAAAGACACCTGAAATTATTTCCAAGAAAGGGATACAGGGGGGGTTATCTAATGATGCCAAATATTGGCCTCTATGAGAGACGCCATTTTTATAGTTTATGACCCGCCATCTTTCCGGAACTAAATGAGTCGATGCTTAAAAAAATATTAAATCACATAAGTCCTTCACAATATATATAATCATCACACAAAGATTCATTCTATTTGAAAGAGGTTCCAAGGAAATGGCCATTTTAGATCGATTTATGGCCCCGGGATATCCAATTTCCGCCTCTGATTACTTTTTTTTCTTTCTTCTCACTTTTTACCGTCCCGGGTGTTGCTATTTTGCGAGACACAGTATTTTTCATATCACCCGCCATTATCATTTTCATCCGCGTCTTCATTGGTTCTTCCTCAAGTTGGCTTTGATTTCATTATTCCCAAACGAAGTGCATTCAGTGGCCTAAATAAAGCTAGATAGTTCTTGTTTATTATATTATATTTTTTTTATTTCAGCGAATTGTCAATTTTATCCAATTTCACGTGGGAACATAAAATACCGTTCATTCATTGCGAATCGTTTGGTTTTTTCGGTTTCATGAAAATATCCTTCGATGAAATGGCGAGTTAGTAAAAAAAATATAATTTTCTTGAAATATATTTTAACAATTTTTAAAAAGAAAGAAAGAAAGAAAGAAAGAAAGAAAGAAAGAAAGAAAGAAAGAAAGAAAGAGAAGAGAGAAGAGAATGAAGGAAGGAAGATTAGAATTTTTTTCTATAAATTAATTGATAATTATAGATTTAACGACATATTTTTTTTCATGTACAAGCGGCAATGTGGTTTTTTTTTAAAAAACTTTAAATCATTTTCTGAACGCTGAAGAATTTGCTTATATTTTTTTCTTGTAATGGATAAATATAACCCCGGTCTCCCATTTCAGATTTTTATAATCGAGCCAAATCTAAGTTTATTAAATGATTGGATTCGTTCCTTACTTACAGTTATTCCACACCTAGCCCACATATAAACAATTTCCCCATACTTTTTAAATCTTCTAAAAGTAATTATTAAAAAAAAACAGATCGCACGTATGAAAATAATAAAGACGGCAAGCATCTAAAATGCTGCTAAAAATGAGATGAAAATATGAGAAAAATGGCAAATTTTCCTCATTATGCCTCCTCATTTTTAGGCTCGAGGATCAAAAAATCCTTAATTCCAAAGAATATGTGATATCCAAAATGATTATTCCTGAAGATCTCTTCAATTTCTGAGATCAATTTGTAAATTTTTCGATGATGACAGAAATCTGAATAATCTGACATCCGTGTCCATTTTACAGGAAATAAAAAGAAAGTGTTTAAAGTATAAACGATACATCTAATAAATTTTTTTCTATGACATCTAGAAACATAAAAATCTCAGCTTGAGTACCTTTGATAGTGAAATCTACGAATATTTAGGGGAACCGGTTTTGTTCGGAAAACGTTAATGTTTTAGAGTGGTGGAAGAGGAATCCAGGCGCGATTTCCACGCCTATCACAAATGGCGAGGGATCTGGTCCTATTCTCACGCGCTGGAGATACGATTACGCAAAAAAATGGAATGGGATGTCCTCTAAAATACGCTCAAACAATGACTAGCACTATGGTCTCGGGAATGGCGAGATATTTAATCACAAATGGCGAGGGATTATCTGGTCCCTGGCGGGCGAGTATTCTCACGCGCTGGAGATACGATTACGCAAAAAAAGGGAATGGGATGTCCTCTAAAATACGCTCAAACAATGACTAGCACTATGGTCTCGGGAATGGCGAGATATTTAATCACAAATGGCGAGGGATTATCTGGTCCCTGGCGGGCGAGTATTCTCACGCGCTGGAGATACGATTACGCAAAAAAAGGGAATGGGATGTCCTCTAAAATACGCTCAAACAATGACTAGCACTCTTGTCTCGGGAATGGCGAGATATTTAATCACAAATGGCGAGGGATTATCTGGTCCCTGGCGGGCGAGTATTCTCACGCGCTGGAGATACGATTACGCAAAAAAAGGGAATGGGATGTCCTCTAAAATACGCTCAAACAATGACTAGCACTCTTGTCTCGGGAATGGCGAGATATTTAATCACAAATGGCGAGGGATTATCTGGTCCCTGGCGGGCGAGTATTCTCACGCGCTGGAGATACGATTACGCAAAAAAAGGGAATGGGATGTCCTCTAAAATACGCTCAAACAATGACTAGCACTATGGTCTCGGGACTAGGAGACGAATTATAATAAACCAATACTTAATTCGTTTTATTTAAATAAATAATATTTGTTTTAAACTTTCCCATATGTTTTCAAAATTTTTTAAGAAAGATTTAAAAAGTTTGGGGAAATTGTTTTTACGAGGGCTAAGGTGTGGATAATTTGTAAGTAAGGGACGAATCCAATCATTTAGAAAACTTAGATTGTATCGATATAAAAATTATGTTTGTCCAATCTAGTTCGTTAATGGGGTTACTTAATCGTAGCGCACTGAAGGATCCTTTTCAATCGATACTTTCGAGAAAGGATCAGCTGCTAACTTACTCGCTAGAGTTGGATAGCCAATATTGGAAAATATTTTGCTGGGAGGCAATTTTTGGCTTACATATTGAGCCTTTAATATTTTTTTTGTCGTAATATCCATTTAGCGAATTAGGGTTGAATAACCAATAAATACATTTCGGCTCAAAATTAAACCAGAGCCCAGCTAGTGGACCAACTAACTAAAGCCAACTAATGGGACGACTAGAGCCAACTCTTGAGCTGATTAATGCCAACTCATCTGGTCGGCTTGAGCCTTGGCAAATTTTGACGACTCTAGGCCAGATCTCGAAAATTATTAATTAAATACACATATATTATTAACCACATTTTTTCGTTGATATATAAAATTATAAATATCTAAGAATCGATAAATTCCCTACAATAAAGTTAGCCCGGTCCTGGAAGATAAATTATTTCGAATTCGATGTTAAATATTTAATGAATAATGAATTGAACTATTCGTCCTCTAGTTTTTAAATTGGTTTATCTACCCGAGTTTCTAGTGTAAAAGTAAAAAATTATCAAACATTTCAATTTAAAAAAAAAAAAAATGTAATCTCAAAAGATAATTATTTCTGTGTGCTGATATTGAAATACCCGTCCTCTATGCATCGAAATATGATTGGGCAAAATATCCTTGGTGGTTGGTGCTCGGATCTATGAATTTGGTTGACCAGATCGACCCATTTGGTTGGGTTGGTTCTGGTTCATATTTTTCTACCAAAAAAATCATGCAAATTCGACCCAATCAAGCAATTTAGCTATACTAGGAAAGATATTCTAGCATGTTTAGAATGCCTATCTTATGGAAAGAAAGAAAGGAAAAAGAAAGAAAGAAAGAAAGAAAGTGTAAGTAACTTTTACAATTAACATTTGAGTCATTTATGATTTATTTTGCGAAAAAATCTATGGAAAAAAAAACTAATATAAATTTTATAATAAATTTCAAAAATTCATGACAAAAATTATCCTGAATTCACTTAGGGTACGTATTCCCAAACATGATGGAATATATTTCCGGTTGAAACCAGATTTTTAGGGAAATAAAATAAAATAACACTTTCCCGGAAAAACCACGTTGCCGCTAACGCACATGAACATTTCCCAACAATCCCTATACCAGCAAACCCCCTACCTCCCCCATCACTCTCAATCGATAATTTTATTTTATTTACTATTATCGATTCCTTTTTTTTGAAAGCACACTTATTTATAAATCAATAGTTATCGATACGCACCCGGAAAACAGCATTCCCGATTTACGGATCATTCGTCCATTTCCGGAATTCCAAGAATATTTGGAAAGCATAGACTTCTCGGCCATGAATAAAAATGTATATTAATAAATACGATATGATGCTCCGTTTTTAATGGCGGTTTTCCGGGTTTTATCCGGGTAAGCTTTCCATATTTCACGGTCTATCACGATCTGCAAGATCCTTACTTCCAATGTAACCCGTTACCACTTTCATCCGCGTCGTCTTGGGTTCCCGCTACTCGACCTATAATTTTTTTGGCAGAATTTTACATGCCCCCCCCCCCCCCCCATTTTTTAAAATATTTCATTCATCCCTTTCTAATAAATTTTAATCAACATAAAGAACCTTTTTTTTTCCCGACTCTCACTATTAATCAGTTGTAGAATGTCTTACTTCCTCTCCTATATCCCTAGAAGACCCTACTTATACCCTCTGGCGTCGACGGCAGGTCGAGCGTTACAGCATATTTGTCATAAAATTAAATCATTCATTTGTTATATATATATATTTTTTTTCAAAAAAAAAATAAATAATTGCCAAGATAGCAACTCAAAAAGTATCCTTACATAATAATTTTGGCAAAATTATGGCGGGCTTATCTCTCCCGACGACAGAATTCCGAAAATGTACGAAAAAAAAAAATTTTTTTTATTTTTTTTTGCGCGAACTTTCATTTTCTTTTTAAAATTTACGATTTCATGAAAAAAATATATACATATATTAAGGATCCACCGGATAAATATATATATACTATATACTCACTTTAAAAGGAAAGAGGGGGGGGGAACGAGGCAAGCAATTAGTATTGTTAAACGGCGAGCCTATTGGCCGCATTCATAGTGGATCCGACCCGACACGATTTAACAGCTGATCGATTTTTAAGATCTGTTTATGAGAATCAAATTTTTTTTGTAGGAATATTAATTTTGTCTTTAATTCTAAACACGATAATAACCTAAGAAATATCGGTTTTAATAAAGAAAAATTGAATCTAATAAACCGATTTTAAAAATCGATCAGCTGTTAAATCGTGTCGGATCGGATCCACTATGAATGCGGCCAGCCAGAAAAATATTGTCTTAGCCCCGAGATTTCGATGATATATGTCTCAGACCTTTTTCTAGGAGCAAAATCTTCAGGCTTGCGTACAATTTTTATTTCTGTAGAAATATTTAATTAGCAGAAAACTAGCCGTTTTAAAAACACTTACAAGCAAGAAAAAAAAAATTGGTTTAATGATGCAACGAATTGGCTGAAGACGTAATTAGGATCCGATACGACAAACTGCTGATCGATTTTAATTATAAGATAAAAAATTTTTTTTAAAGAATAATTATCAAATTAACCTTTGATATTTGTATATTTATAAAATACATCATACGAGGCCTCTATGGGCTGCCCGTTCAAAATCTAATTGTACATATTTTGGTTTTTAGTATTCACATATCTCTTTTATCATTTGGAAGAGTTTTATATATGCGGCTTTACTTTTATTTGGCAATAAAGCATATATGGCTACCAGTGCCACCCATATAGATGGCTTTCGGCCTCTGCAAGGAATCTAATTTAGTCATATGTAGAGAATATTAGAATATCATTGTTATGATTGGCTAAGAGGAATGACTCCCCTTCAAACGTCGTATATTCTGAAGGCAATATTAGCTCACCTGTTGTTAGAGGCAAGGCTGGCCGTGACTGCGTAATCATTCGAACCGTAGTTTTCTTGAACTGATTCAAAGCGTGAAAGTGTATTGGGGAAGTTGGAAATATCTGGGACATTAATAAGCCTTTCCTGTTAATTTTGCTATATATTATCTTGATTCTAATGGGTTCGATTTCATAGTAGTCTTGAGACTATTCCTTGTTTCAAGGCTTAAGAATTCATCTTTCTCCCTTTCTCATGTGTATGTTCTTGTGTTGTATCAATTCTTGAATCTCTGATTCTTAATATTGCACGTCCATTCCACAAATTTTGACGACACTTATAATCAGGGTTGTGCATTTGACTGGTCAAATACGTTTCGGTTAGGTCAAATATGGTCAAATTCAAATATATGTTTTTAAGTCAATATCAACTTAAAATGTAAATTAATAATAATAAAATGAATCTATAATATTAATTTTTTAAATTCATTGTCATTCAATAACTAACGTTTAGCTCTCTGTAGGAGAGTCTTGTTCTGACTTATATTCAATATTATCATTTTCTTTAATATTTTATAATCAATTTTCCTGATGTCGAGATCTTTCGATTTCTATTTTTAAAGGAATTTTAACCCAAATCGACCTATTTCTTTAAAATAACTAGGAATATTTAGTCTCTTAATGAGCATGATGGTAAAGTTTAATCTATTAACTTGAGGTCGGAATTGATTGTTTCCTGTGGAAATTACTGTTTTCCACATAATTTGCTATTAAACATGCTGATTTTGCTTCTGAAATTAATTATAACACTTAAAATATTTTGGTCATCACAACCTTGTAAAATGGCTAATTCTTGAATTATATCATATACATTGAAATCACTACTATTGAGATGCTCCTCTTGATATTGGAGACCCAAAAAATAAGCTACATTGTGATCACATGTAACTTATATCGTTTTTTCCTGTTTTAAACATATTTTTAATTTTTTTTTCTTTAGATTTTTTTAGAGCATTTGACCGTATTTGACTAGGTTAAATACTTTTCCGGGCAATTGACCGACTTGCCAACCCTGCTTATAATAGATAGAATCCTTCCTATAATAATCTTTAATGTACAGAAATCCCTGATAATAAAGGCAATAATTACCCTTTGAGTATTCAATGTATTGAATATCTATGATATTAAATAAACATTCGTTATAGTAATATGTGATATTTTTTAATTAAATCATGAATTTATTACTTGAATTTTGAATGTTAGCATATTGTAATTCTAATAGCATTTGAGCATTGTTTATATCTTCTGTACCTATTTAAAAAAATAATTAAATTAGTTTAATACAAAAGTTATAAAGTTATTAATTTACTAGTCATTGTAATTTGTATATTAAATGTGGGTAACAGCTGAGATTGAGTTAGTAAAATGCCTAATAATTAATTGATTATAAAGTTTAATAATAGTTACTAGGAGTTGAGATAGAGTTAACGTATTGCCTAAAAATTTAACTATATGAAACTAGTTATAGTTGGTTGGGAGTTTGTGATCAAGAGTTGAGATTGAGCAAATATATTGCCTAAAAATAAATTGATTATAGAAATTTCAATTTGTGAGACTTGATATGAGCAGGTTGCAACCTGGGTGTTACTAGAATTTGAGGTTGAGTGAGCATATTGTCCAAAAATATATTTATTTTAAAAATTTAAATATTTTATGAAACTTGATAATGAAGGTTGTATTTTAATTCTTCGAGATAATTGGAATTGAGTCATTGGCTGACTATCAGATATACATAGAAAGTTATTGAGTAAATAATAAAGTGTCATAGTGAATTATTTATAAAAATATTTACCAATGGGTGATTTACATTGTTCTATGGTATGATCCTGTGTTTCTGTGAACTTACCTGATTGGGAAATATCCCGTCCTGATCATCTCCATTTTTAACATCGGTAATACACAGAGGAATTTACTACCATATTGATAGTATTCTTCCAAATCATTAAAACATAGATTATCATGTCCTCTTTTGGATTTTTTTTATTAGTAAATTTGTTTTATGAAATCACATTACTAAATTGATTACATCTAAGTTAGATTGCTAACTTTGAATTATATTGGGATTAATTCTTCTCTCAAGAAAAATTTTGATGTTGGTTGACAACCGTTTTAATTTCCATGATTATCATTATAAATAAGAATATTCTTAAACTATTGCTTTTTCCGCACTTTAATAGAATCAATCACAGAATTGGACGAAATTTTACGATTAAGTGTCCATACAATGGTAGGCACGATAATCTTCAAATCAGGTAAGTTCACAGAAACCCAGGATCATACCATAGAACAATGTAAATCACCTAATATTAAATATTTTTATAAATAATTCACTGTGAAACTTATTATTTACTCAATAACTTTTCCATGTATATCTGATAGTCAGCCAATGACTCAATTCCAATTTATCTCAAAGAATTAAATTACAACCTTCATTTTCATGTTTCATAAAATATTAAATTTATAAAATCAATATATTAATAGACAATACGGCTCACTCAATCTCAAATTCTAGTAACACCCAACATGCAACTTGCTAATGCCATATCAAGTTTCACAAATCAATATTTCTATAATCAATTTATTTTTAGGCAATATATTTGCTCAATCTCAACTCTTGGTCCCATTCCCAACCAACTTTAACTAGTTTCATCAATTATTATATTTTTATAATCAATTTTTTCTTAGGCAATACGTTTACTTAATCTCAGCTCCTATTATAACACAACTGCAACCTGCTAATTCCATATCAAGTCTCAAAAATTATTATATTTTATAATCAATTAATTATTAGACATTATATTAACTCAATCTCAACTATTACCCATATCTAATATACAACCTAAAATGTTTAGTAAATACATTTTTATAACTATTGTATTAAATTATTTATTTAACTATTTTTTAAATAGGTACAGAAGATATAAACAATGCCCACATGCTATTAGAATTACAATTAGCTAACTTTTTAAATTTAAGTAATAAATTCATGATTTAATTAACAGATATCACATCTACAATGAATATTTTTATTTATATATCATAGATATTCAATATATTGAATCCTCAAAGGGGGTAATTATTGCCTTTTATTATCAGGGATTTCTGTACATTAAAGATTATTCTAGGAAGGATTCTATCTATTATAAGTGTCATCAAAATTTGTGGAATGGACGTGCAATATTAAGAATTAGAAATTCAAGAATTGATACAACACAAGAACATACGCATGAGAAGAGGACAAAGATGAATTCTTAAGCCTCGAAACAATAAATAGTCTCACAGCTGCTATGAAATCGTACCCACTAGAATCCTAATAATATATAACAAAATTTTAGCAGAAAGGCTTCAAAATGTTCCAGATAGTTCCAACTTTCCCAATACGTCCACGCTTTGAATCAGTTCAAAAAAACTACGATTCGAATGATTAAGCAGTCACTGCCAGCCTTGCCTCTAACAAAAAGTGAGCTAATATTCCCTTCAGAATATACAACGTTTTAGGGGGAGCCATTAGATTTTAATATTCTCCACATATGGCTTTATTAGAATTCTTGCCATAGGAGCCGAAACCATTTACATGGATGTCACCTTTTTTTTTAAAAAAACGCGAAATTAATAAAAAATATCTAAAAAACGCGTCCAACATAAAATAAATATAAAACGCAAATTTAATTTGTCGTATTTTATATATCATTCCAATACAATTTAATTATTCTTATTCATTTATTTATTCTAAATATTCGATTACATTTAATATTTAATTATTTCAATTATTTTCTTCGCTATAACTTGAAAATAATGATAAACTATTACCACCATAATTTATAACAAATAATGATAATATGTAAACGAGAACGAGGACAAGATGGATACGTTCAATGGTATCATGACAACATTTCGTAACGCTAAACTTAGCAAAACCTCCCACTCTAATACAACGTTGGATGGAATACCATATATAAATATATATTTTAGTTTTATGTGCCTCTTGGCGTGATTTAAAACATTTTTGTTATTATTTACATTTTATCGAATTTACAATTTACATTTTTTTTATTATATATTATCGTTTAAATTATTTTATTATATTGCGTAACCTAAAAAATGATTGATTATTTACTTGATTTATTTAAACATATTTAAATGGTGTGCCAAAAATCGATATATAAAGACAGTCTTTATAATGATACATATTATTTTGATGAGCGATTTAATAAAGTTACAGTTTTATATATATTTAAAATCTGACTTGGTGGCAATTATAGAATGCGTTTAATAATAATATTCTCCAACTCTACCAAACTTTTTAAACTGAATTTAAAGTTAAAGTGGATAGAATAATAAAATGTAAATTTTAACGCTATAAAATACAAATAAAACTAAAAATGTTTTAAATCGCTCCACGAGGCATAAACCTAAAATATATTTATATAGAACATTCCCTCCATTTGTTTTATTCAAGTGTGAGGTTTGCTAATAATGCACACAAAATTGAGCGTTTATTACTTTAATTTTTTAATAAAAAAACGTAACGCGTCCTCTGTTTAAATTGTGTCTTTTTATCAATGTCCGTCGATTCAAAATGTTAAATAAGTTCTTTAAATAAAAAAGGATTTGTCTTTGAAAATTATATTATCGTCTGCTTTCTTTATTTCTTTTAATTTATAAATATTCTTTTTTTTAGGATTCATAAGGTAAGTTATTTATATTACATTTTTTATATAATATTACAAAGCGAAGAATAAAATTGTTAAAAGATACTTCCAAATGGATCTAGATACAGATACATCGTCTAAAATAATATCTAGATACAGATTATTTAATCAAAAATCTTACTAGATACAGATATAGATACCACATTTTTATATCTAGATACAGGATCTAGATACGTATCTAGATCCTGTAACAACTCTGAAAATTAGTAATGAAAAAGCAGACCTATTTGCGTTTTTTCAAATGGTCGCTAAGCCAAACGGTAATTTTACCAATTTGCGCGAGGCCATTTTGAAAGGCGTTATTGGCGCTTGTAACGCAGCGGTTGAAACGCTCAATTTGTTCGCACTATAAGGCTTACCAATCAGGAATGAGCATCTATTCGAAATATAGATGCGAAGGCTAAAGCATTTACGTAAACAAGATTAAGTAAAATGGTAACAAGATTAATATTACTTTTTAAAAGGGATATATTTTTTTATGCAAGAAACGTCAATTAATATCAAGAATAAAATAAAATTTCGTTGATATTTAATTTCTAATTCATTATTATTGTACGACATTTGGCTCATTCTAGATGTCAGAAGATGACAACGGTGATGCATCCCACGAAACGGTCAAAATATTTTCATCTAATCTCGACAGACATCGAAAGAACGAATTCGCCACTTACGTCAAGCAATGTAATTACTTTTTAAAATAATAATATATTCGAAGGAACTCGTTAACCTCAAAATAATTCATTTTATTTTTGATTTTCTTTTCTTATTTTAAAAATAAATTCGATACAATTTGTCAACTTTCCTTTCTTATCATCTTCAATGCGGGGAGGTTATTAGTAAGCTTGTGAGAGAGAGGCAGAGATAGTCTGTGAAACTGATCCGTGACTTGCGGAAGAAAAAATTTATTCATCTCTTCCACATGGTCTCGGCGTAAAGAAACCTTCTTAACCTCTTCTTGATTAGTTTAAGAAATTGGTAGGTATTCCTCTATTGAAGATATTCCCATTCTAAAATACTTTTGGACAAAACTTATGCCATAAATCGCTATAAGCTGTTGCCAAGTGCCAATCTTGGTCTGCCATTAGATTAGGAGCTGTCTAGCCTGTTTGTATTCGAAATGGCGCTTCAGTAGCCATAAGCGCGATTAACATTATTATATCGAATAAACTAGGTTTGGCTAACTATCTAAATCTCTTTGAACCCTTTTCACTTATCCTTTATCTATTGCAAAAAAGACCAGATGTTCTCTAAAAATATTCTTTGGTTTAGAGAAAAACACCTTACTTGGGATTTCTCCCTGGGTCTCCCAGTTATCCTCTAACCCAAAACGTTCACCCGATTACGACAGCCGAAAGGTCAAAAATTAGAAAGTGCCACGACCTATCAGATTTAATTTCATTTTTATCTTTTTAGAGTTATTTCTACCAATATGTCCTTAAGCTCCCTAGGCCATCATTTTTTAAAAGATTTTTAAGTAGAGACTTTCATGGACCGAGCTGCTCTGTTCCAAGGCAACTAACTGTCTGAGTTTACCCTGAATCTCACGAGAGCCATCTTTTTCCTATTTTTTTTCAAAAAATTTATTGTTTTTGTTCCCAAAATACCCTTGTTTTTTTATTATCTAAAAATTAATTCCTAACATCTGTTCTCATTCTCTTATCTAAAATAAATATTTCAGTTTAAAAATGAGCTAATCGATTCTGGAATTGTCGCCATTTTTTTTTTTAATAATTCGAAATTTTGGGCTAAAATTGCTTTGTGTAAACTTACGAAATACGTCGATTAATTTAAATACCGCCTTATGAATTCAGAGTTGTTAAAAGATACTTTTTAAAATGGATCTAGATACAGAAACATCGTCTAAATTAATATCTAGATACAGATATTTTAATCAAAAATTTATCTAGATACAGATACCACATTTTAATATCTAGATACAGGACCTAGATACAAGAATCTAGATCTTTTAACAACTCTGTATGATATATTATGTTAAAATTTAAAGCAAAACCCTACATACAAAATAAGGTAGGTTAAAAAAAAAACCTTATGTGTTGTTGAGAGTTGTTAAAAGATACTTTTTAAAATGGATCTAGATACAGATACATCGTCTAAAATAATATCTAGATACAGATATTTAAAAAAAATTTATCTAGATACAGATACCACATTTTTATGTCTAGATACAGGTCTAGATACAAGTATCTAGATCCTTTAACAACTCTGTATGAATTTGTTAAATTATCCAAATTTTAATTAATAAAAGAAAAATTTGATATATTAAAATTTAAAGCAAAACCCTACATACAAAATAAGGTAGGTTAAAAAAAAACCTTATGTGTTGAGTTATTTATACCTTCTGAAATATTGTTTTAATTTTCGCCTGCAAAATATCTTTGTAAAAAACGGGTTTTCTTGGCTTGTTTTTTTAAATTTATGGCTTATCACAATGTTGAAAATAATAATCTACCAATATTTGTTATATCGTGTTAATTAAAAAAAAAACACTCAGTTTTTTAAAATACTTGAAAATTTTGGTCTGGTTGTTTTTGTTTTCGCTGTTTTTTTCCTCGTTTTTTATATTCGAAAAATAAATTTTAAAAAGACACTTTCACAATGATAAAATTCTATATTAATATTTTTTATGTTTTTTTTTAGATTTTAAATTTTACTTAGTAATTTATTTTTTGGTCCTTGTCGTTAATTATCACAAAAACGTTGTTATAATGATAGATTTCGAACGCTACAAAAAAGTTATCACGCCTTCCGCTGATGAGTTTGGACTAACGTCGGAAGCGGAACATGATTGGTCCGATATGGTTAACGAATGCGTCAAGGCCACAAACACGTGCTTGATAGATGAAACCAAAGTTTTGTTTTTTACAATTAAATATTTCGATTTGTTGCTTTAGTAGTTCCGAGTTAGCAATTTTTACAAATCGGGTTTGTAGTAATGTCTGATCAGAGGACGATACGCAGATCAGCACGAGCCCTAAGGAAAATATTTCCCCGGGTTGGGCCTTAAATTTATCAATTTTATATAGAATATTTTGTGTAAAATAAATTTTATTTATAGAAACTAGACACCATATAACATATGTCGTTTATTTTAAGTGATTATAAAAATCGATTTCTATGTTTAAATAAGTTCGGGTCGGGCCGGGTTTGAAAAATTAGGCTCGATGCAGAACACTAGTTTAAATAATCTTTCGTGACGAAAATGAATCTTCCAAAGATTTTCGCTCAAAATTATTTCGAGTGCTCATTGAAGATCCTCTTTTTTTCTTCTTCTTCAAAATTAACTGCATAATTGTATCAGAAGCCCGCCATCTTTTATTAGCTTCTCTACGTTGTGTTTTGACGATTGATGATACTTTTCAGATATCATTGAAACCAAGTTCGCGTGTTCCTTGTGGATGTAAAATGAAATTGTTTTTGGGTAGCTATAAAATTGAGTGTAATATGCATGTATCATATTTTTTTTTGAAGATTCCTCAAAACGTCGAAGAAATTTTGAAAGATCGCAAGTGCGGCTTGGAATACCTTTCCCGAAAGACGGTTAATTTGGTTCGACACGAGACAGAAACGCTTTCCCAAACCGGAATAAAAAATGTCGAGGGGCCGAATGCCGAAAAGGGCGCCAGTCTTTCTTCCCGCGAATACCATCGCGACAACTATAAATTTTGGTGCTTGGCCTATACCCTCAAACTGTTCATTGATAAATACGGTTTTTAAATTTTATATTTATTATTTAATAAACAAAAAAAAAATAAGGAAAAAAAAGAAAGAGAGAGAATAATTTTTAGAAAGAAATAAAATTTTAATTTGAAAAAAAAAACAGGCAAGCTACCTCTCAGAGGCATTTTACCCGACATGAACTGCGATACAGAGATTTACGTCGAAATTCTCACATTATTCAGACGCCGTTTCGCCGAAGAATGCCTCCAATTTAAGGAAATTTGGGAACGAGAAGTGGTAAATATATTTTTTTTCTCTTTAAACTGTTTGGTAGTGTTTAAACCGCTCGTTTTGAGGCGATTTTTGAAAACGGCTTACTCTATAGTCCATCCAGAAAAATATTTACGCAAGTCTGAAGATTTTGCTCATAGAAGGAACAAAGGTCTAAGCATATATATATTATAGAAATCTTTTCTTTCTTTCTATCTTTCTTTCTTTCTTTCTTTCTTTCTTTCTTTCTTTCTTTCTTTCTTTCTTTCTTTCTTTCTTTCTTTCTTTCTTTCTTCAAAATGAGCCCCGTTCAATGACACTATTGTTTGGAAAAGTTGTTTTCTTTTGGTTATGTTTTACAAATATTTTATACAAAAATAAAAAAATTTGTTTACGACCCGAATATTTTATTTAATGAAAATGGCGGTTGTTATCATGTAGACTGTAGCCCTCTGCCTTAAGCGCGAATTTTAGGTAAATTATACAAAATATTCTGAATTTTTTGTATTCTACGCCGCGATTTTCGCGCTAACCTTGAATAACAGGGTAAATCTTCCACATTAGGTGATTTGTTACAAACGCGTTGTTATCTCATAACAGGGGCGACGTAACTTTAACCCGGCATGGGACCTAATGAAAATAATGATAATCATGTTCATTGACTAAAGCACTCTAGACCCCAATCCACTCCACAAAAACTCGTCACTTTGAGACTTCCCCCCCCCCACACATTACCTAAAAATGAAGGATGACTCGTAGAAGGGATATCGAGCTATGAGGCTTCCATACCAATGTAAAATTCTCGACAATTTTAAAATCAGGAAAATCAAAATTCCCACTTGCGGGAATATCGGAAATTTTGGGGAATCAAAATAATTTTTTTGAGTCTAAAAGGATTCCATGCTTGACTTCAATGAATTGGATATACTAAATAGAGAAAAAAAACCCTAAAAAAGAAGTCTTAAAACTGCAATATATTAATACTTGAAATTATAATGGTCGAAATAATATACATGAGAATGAGTTCAACTCATGCATTTCATCTATAACGATATCACTACTGCTGATGATATATTTTTCATTTTTCTAAAAAAAATTTTATGAGTTAAAATAATTGAATGATTTATAATGTATTACCAAGTAATATTATGTTGTAATAAATCGCATTTTTTTAATGGGAAATAACTATCCCGCGTTCGATTAATTTGGAATTGGAAATTCTTCCCAAAATAAGAATAAAATTCTGTCCGAAGCAGCAATTCGGCGTAATCTGTAATAGTCTCATAGCGATAATACTTATAGGTTGGCACAAATAAAGATCTTTCCAACCTTATCAGGTTGAGAACATGCTCAGCACTCTACCAATATTCCGACATTTTCCCCCAAAAACTAATCCTTGATCGAAATTCTGCGAAAGTTGGACAAACTCCAATAATTGAATTCTGCAATTATGAAATTAAAACTCTTCGCGTTTTTTTTCCCCACTCTCTAAGCTATGATATACATTTCCGATCACTTTCGCCGATAAAAAAATTCGTATTTGTTTTTATCCACCTTGAAATAGCGGAAAATTAACTCTGAACTTTTGATATACTCGATTTTATCTTCTAATATGTTTAAATGTATATATTCGATGGATTTAATGGATGTTTTGGAATTTGTTTTCCCGGGAATTTGCCCATAATTCCCTGGAAATTTTCCGGCTTTTATATTAGTAGGTTTTCCACCCGGAATTTTAGATAAGGTGATTCATCGTTGCCACCCCCTTCCATCCACATGTTTGGAGGACTCTTTGTATTAGACTATCATTTTCCACTTACAAAAATAAAAGCTCGATATTTTTTTAAAAATATTATTTACAAAATTATTATTTATCTTCCACTATGTTAAAGTTACTTTTGAAACATAACTAGTTACAGTTACTAGCTACATTTTTACAATAGTTACAGTTATTTTTCAAAAGTAACTAGTTACATTATAAGTTACTTTATACATCATTCATTTAGGGAAATAAAAATAAATAATACATTATAAAAATAATTTTATCTTAGGATAAAATATTACTAAACATAGCTAATATAGAAGTAAGTATTTGTAACAAGATAATATAGAAAGATTTGTATATTCTTAAAATATAATATTGACATTAACATTTAATATTGCTAACTATTAGACAGGTGATTAAACATTTAAATTTAATGTAAAAATAAAAAATAATTTAAACTGTAATTTATAAGAGAATATACATTACAAATTTATATTAATTAAGTTACAAATTTTAAACCAAATTGATATAATTATCCTGATTCCTATGTACTTAAAATCTAAAAATATATTTAATATTAAATTTAACTAAGGATAAATTAGAAATAGTTGCTCTATGTTAAGATATTTTAGACTTGGGTGTTAGTAAAAAATTAATAAATGTTTATTTATTTATTATAAAATGATTGATAAGTAGCCTTTAACGAATATTTTGGATTACCTTTTAATTAATATAATTTTTAGTTGAAATATACTTAGGTTTTTATCAACCTATTTTAATTGAAATGCCTAGAGAGATTATTGCTAAACATAGTAAAGAAAAAAATACTTATAGTTTATTCTACAATGAATTAATTTAACCTATAATTAGTTGATGTTATAATTTCTGCTTAATAATAAGGATCTATCAGGTTAAATTAGTCATTTCCAAGTAGAATTTAAATGTGAAATATATTTAACAAGGTGATTAAGGAAAAAAATAATACATAAGGAATTGAGTTAATTATAAAGCTTAGGTTTAGATAGGAGAAAAAAGGGAAACTTAACTTATTTTCAATTAACTTAATTGATTTGATATTGCTACATAGTTTGTTCTATTTAAATTAATAAGATGTATTAGGTTATATTGGCCACTTCCAGGTAAAAGTTTGGTTCAGAATTAAGAATCATCTCTTGACCAATCGTCTAAATTTACATACAACACTTCTTTATTACAACAGACTTTTGTTTCATACAAAGATTCTAGTATTGAAAAATTGTATCATGAAATTAATTTACTTAAGACATATCCTTGTACATGTAATATTATGATGTACCACATCGCTTTCATTATCATAATCCACAAATCGGATTGGAAATTATTTTAGTAGATGTTGCATGGTATTTTTGAAATCCTCAAATATTAAAAAATTGGTTTATTTATTCCGAAGGAAATGAAAATCTTTTTATTTCACATTTACACAATTTAAAAAAAACAAATTTAATTCAAAATATATTTATCGCAACATATTAAAAATAAAATGAATTATTTGAATATATTATTTAGATTTACACATACATATTTTCAAAAGTAACTAGTTACTTTTGACAGTTACATAGGTAAAAATATAACTAGTTACAATTTTTAAGATAAAACTAGTTGCAGTTATTTTTTAGCAAAAATGTAACTTGTTAACTTAACACTATCTTCCACCCTTCCACCCCCCTTTCCCATTAAAAAAATAAACAAAATAATAATTAACCTTATTATTTATTTAATTTTTTTTTTAAAAATAGCTTGAAATACTCGACACTTCTTCTCCTTCCGCCGAGATTGGTTGTTCCTCATCGCTCAAAATTCATATAACTGATCAAGAAATCGAATTATTTTGTAAGTATAAAGTTTATCATTTAGTGATTAGATTAAACTTGAATGAATGGAACATATGAATTAATCGTTAAATTAAAATGGAGGTTATGGCACTAATGAAAATAATCGATATTTGTCGAGCTTCAGTGACATTATAACAATACCTAGACCGACGATGCGTTCACGATAACGCATTTGAAAGCGTCTTTGAATGCAAATCAGTTGGACCCGCCATTTTGGTAACCCATACAATAATTATTCTCATGTTTAAAAAAACTACGATTAAATTGATAATTTGCTTCCTTAATTAGCTCGAATGATCGGCCAATTCATTAATAAAGTTTGCCTCAGTCATAGGAATTAATTGGCCTCTCGGTTAATGAAGATGGCGTCCCCAGCTGTTTTCATTGATGTGAATGCATCGTCAGTCTAGGTATTATTATACGTCAATGGTCGAGTCATATCGTGGGTTCAGAATTGGAATGTGCTATCTGCACTCAAACGAAAAAAACTTTAAAAGTATTTGTTGGTTTAAATTCGTCACCTCTCGATTTCTATTTTATTTTATTTTTTTTAAAAAGGACGTATTAAGATTTAAACCTCGAGAATTTTGAATTATTTCATCGTAAAATGTGTTCATTTTAGCTGCGTGCTATTTATTTTTTTTCTCGAAAATTTTGAACGCCAAAATTCGCTAACCAATCACGTTATAGAAAATTCGACGTTAACCATTTTATAACTAGAAATTTATTTATGTTTCCCCTTAAAAATTCAAAAATTCGGTTAGGCAAAAATTGTCATTTCCTTAGAGTCGTACGAGGTCTTCCGGCTGAGAACGAAGTTTCGGCGTTATTCGATTCGATGTTGAGCCCCTTACCAGATCAAGAAATTTCAGGTTTTCGTTGTTGAATACCTATACCACTTATATGATAACCCTATTTTCAAATGCAGAGATCCTAGCGAGAAGCCTTTTGGAGGTTTAATGTGCCTTAATTTAAGAGAGTTTAGAAGTAGAAAAAAAAAATTACTTAGTGCTGTCGGTGTTGTTATTTTAATCTAATATATAATGATGGTCCTTCGATCTGAATAGTAAGGCTAGTGTGAATAATAAAAACGCTGCTATGTGACTAAACAAAGATACTAGTTTTTAAATTAAAGTAAAGTAACAAAATATAAATTGTCTTCTATTTGTAATATATATATTAGAGAATGTATCAGCTTTGAGCCCCAAAGACTTGAGCCTCATTTACTGCCTTATCAGATGCTATTCCAAATTCGCCTCTGAAATAAAGGAACAACCCATCGTCGCTTACAAAGGAGGTGCTAACGAGATGCGCAATATAAAAACTTTGAAAGAATGTGTTAGGAACTTTGTGGAAGATAGATGTAGCCCTGGCCAGGCCCAAGAATTGCGAGAATTGATCGATGCTGAACGAACCGAGGCTTTAATGAAGGAAATGTTTATATTAATTTTTATCTTGCTTTAAAATTTAGGGGGATGGGGGGATTCGATTATAATTATAGATTTTTAAATAAAGAAAATGAAGAATTAGAAATATATTTTTTTTGTTAAAAAAAACATACATTTTTTTTGAAGGTTAAAGCACTATGAATCACTCGAATTAATTACGACTTGCTCGTTTCTCGGTGGGATAGCTTCCCAACAATGCGTTAAAGTGTTAACTAGACAATACGTCCCCTTCAAAGGAACATTCATCTACAGCGGGATAGATGGCAGCAACGCTCAATTCTCATAGCTCCTCAAAAAAAATTGAAAATTATTATATATTCACAGACCTCCTTTGAAGTCTTTAATACATTTATATATTATATATATTTTTTAAAAATAATATTGTAATATTATTTTTGTTGTAAAAAAAATTGTAATTTTTTTTATAGTCTTGAATGATATTGCACCTGCATCTTTGAAATGATGTAGCAATAGGATCTATGAAATTTTCCATCCTTGGAAAATTTAAATGCTTTTGCCTCTCCTCTTTACGCCCATTTTTAATGTAAATGCGTATTTTAGGTTTTTGATGCTAGTTTTTGTGATATACATTTTTTAATCATGGTAATCAAAAATCCTGTTTAACATTCTCAAAATATCAATCACAAGACAACTTTAATTAGAATAAATTATATATATACCCAGGTATTTTTCTTTACATAATGCACATTTATGCTTTCTGATCTATAAATTGAAGATTTGGACACTCCCATTTTTATCCGTAGGAGAGATTGGGGTTAGTCGAACCAATTTTTACAAAATTGGCTATAACTCTTGTTGTTTTATGGATAATATAAAAAATAATATATGATTGGATACCTAAAACTATACTCTATAAAGGTGCCTTATAAAAAATCTTAATAATATTATCATTTAAAAAAAATTTTTTTTTTTTAAAAGTGAAAATTTTGTTCAACAAGCCCCTATAGCGGGTTGAGGCAAACCACTTCAAGGGGCTTCCTAAACCATTGGTTTTTTTAGGCTATAATAAATTGAAATGCAATTTTATTTATTAATAATGATATGTATAGAATAATTTTATTGTTCAAAATATCATAATACTTATAAATTGAAGCTAATTATATATAAAAATTGAAATTTAATTTTGGCTAATTTAATAAACATTTTGGACATAAAAAAATATGAATTTTAAGAATAGATAAAATTTCTTAGCATAAATTCTAAATACCAATCATAAACAGCCATGAAATTGCCTTTTCAAGATTTTGAAATTTTTTTCATTATTAATTGCCATAATTGACGTATATGGTTTAGTAAACCCCGCTAGTTCTAAATTGACAAATCATGATTGAAATAATAACTAGATTTGATAAATACTCATAAAACTTACACAAATGATAGAAGAATGTTTAAACTTTGTAATAAAATTTAATTTACATATAGATGATTATATATTTTAATAAAAATTAAAATTCTGTCATGTAAAAATCTTTTGAAAATTTCATCAAAATTTTATTTATAAAATTTTTAGTAATTAATTATTTCAAAATATATTTTGTCCATAGATGTATATTAATGAAAACTATATTAGGATAAAATTTTAACCTTCTGGTATATTTAATTTTAAAATAAGATTAAGTGGTTTGCCCAACCCAGGGGTTTACCTAACCCCAGCCCAGTCTCCCCTATTTTAATAAATTAAAATAACTTGCAAATCTATGATCAAAAAAATTTGAAATAATTTAAATATGACTCTTATAGCTCGAAGTTTGTATTATAACATAAAAAAATACATTTTTTTAAAAACATTTATTTTTGAGTTTAGATATCATTGAAGTTCCACAATTTTAGACTATCAAAATGTCATATGTTCTAGGCTCCCTCATTGAAAGAGTAATGATTTATTTTTAAATTAAATGACATAAATTTATATATTAGATGCTTTAACCTATTCTAATTCATTTTGACCTATTCTATCTATTCTCGGATGTATAATCCTATGTTTTTACTGTACCATTTTATGCAATGTTGACCACATATGGGTTCAAAAAAAGAAATTTTTCTATAAAAAATTTTTGCCATAATATTTTTGCTTATATTCTTACCAAACAAATACTATTTTTTCATCATAATATTTTTATTATTTATAAAAAAAAATTCTAGGGAATTTATAATTTTATTGTTATTCTCATTATATTTTTAGATGTAAAAATTATTTATAACATTCTTATATTTGCCAAATTTTTAAATAATAGATCATTCTATTTCTAATAGTGAAGTCCTATTCATGCTTTTTGATAAAGGCCCTGATGATGAAACAGATGTAATTATAACTCCTAATGCTGCTTTAGTTGAAGATTTCGATGAAAAGGATCTAACCTACACGCCTAATCTTCTACTAGATACTGCAGGGGAGATCAAATTACATAATCGCCAGACATTTATTTTGTCTTAGAATCCTCAATATCTACAAATTAAGAAAACAAATTAAATTTTCGAAATAATTTAAAAAATGGAAGAAAATATATCCAATTTACACACCGAGACCTATTGATAATGATAAGGAAATATTATAGAATCTTCAATTTGATTTAATCGGAAAAACTTCAATAGAAATAATTAAGAAAATGCATTCACTGCTTGTGAATCTCACATATTTATTCCAACCAAAATAATAGATCAAATTTTATTACAACCATGTTCAGAGATATAGAAATTCATTTGCTGACTGGATATAATTCCTTACCTCAATAAAGAATGTATTGCTCAAATGACAATGATATTACTATACCAATCGTTAAAAATTTAATGAAGCAACATCTAACCTTTGTGCAACGTATCAAGATTCTGTCGAAAGATTTTTTCAAAAATCAAAATTACACAACCGAATCTAATAAATTCTTATAATTCCCATATGGGTAGCGTTGATCTGTGCGATAACCTAGTGTCAACTTATAGAATAAATACATGAGATAAAAAAAATGGTGGAGGTCTAAGCAATTTTATTGATGTAGTAGTAGTAGTAGTAAATTCATGGAATCAAGTGAATCCTGATAAAATATCATTACTTACATTTCGGCTGGAAATAACTACAACACTTTTGAAAACTCCCACTGTTAAATAAAAAGATGAGTACAAGTCGATTTCCCTAGTCAAAAAGTCCTAAGAATTCTTATGGTCATTATTTTAAACTATTATCGATAACAACAAAAGCGACGTTGTAAGCTTTGTCATAGATGCAAGATATATATATTGTAGTTACATATTTGTAAAATAATTTAAATGTTTATTTTTTTAGTTACATGATATAAATGTTTATATTTTACTGTCTGAGGCGTCAATTTAATATCAGATTATATGATATTATGTTTTGATTTTAGAAAGGTATTATCAATTGTTTGATGATATATTACACACACGAAAAATCATTTTAATAAAACTTTAATTTTTAGATGAGCAAAATTCTTTTCCTTCAACCTGATTTATTCTTTCATATCTATTCTAAACTTTCCCAATCAATACCACACCTTAACCTAATCCAAACATATATGTAACATGAGCTAAATACCATTACACATTGATTGCTTAAAAAATTTTCATAAAATATAAAATTAGGTTTGATAGACAATGATTTTATAATAACTATATCTACAAATTTTTCTTTTTTACTATTTTATTTTGACCCATCATAAATCAAACCTTAAACTTTATAAAATATTTCATTAATTTTCAATTAACACGTGATACATCCCAGACTACCCTTTTATCTCCATATCAAGATGTTAAGGACGTGCCATCAGGACGCTTGTCGTAGTCATTTTCTAAGAGCTCCAACCCTCGATCAAAATTTGCCTATCAACCCATTATTATCGTTAAAAAAATGTTGTAGCTGATTTTAAGGCGGAAGAAGCAGTGATTACTAAATGAGTTTGCCTGCTTGCTACACGTAGCATAGATGTCCACAGAAGGAATAAGGCAACATCCTATGGCCAGTGACCATTTATAATTAGTAGTTCGTGAGTAATATCTCCTTATTCTTACTGGGAAACGGCTAATCAGTCGTGCTTTTTAATACTTTTTTTATGCGTTTCTAAGTATTTTAAGCTGTAATATCAGGAGACAAACGCTGATAAAATTAAAAAAAACACATTGAAATATGGGAACTAAGGAAACTATTAAATAGCTGAAGATGGGGTTATGCCAACCTCAGAGAACTTAAAGTGAGTCAAGATTTTTGGCCAAATGGAGAAATGGATCACTCAACTTGATAAGCCAGGAAATAGAATCATTAAAAGAAATCATGAAAGGAAACAAGAACTTGATATTTAAATTGGTAGGTAAAAAATATTCAAGACCTATTTGGTTAGCGGGCCCAGAGACACGCGGGAACAATTAAAATCTATAAAATTTTAGGGTTAAAAAGATTGGATAAAATGTTTAAATTTAATTTGAAAGAATTTGGAAAAAATTTAAAGATTGTGAAAGAATTTTGCTAGAAAAAAATACTTGAAGGTGAGGAAGATTGTTCAGGGAACTAAAAATGAATTTAATCAAGTTGTCAAAAGTAGCTGAAAAAGTGACAAGAAAAGTAAGGGATAATATACTTTTGTTGAGGGAGGACATCTCAGTTTTTTTTCCCGTTTAAGGAAGGGCCAATTCTATGGGTCTTAAGCTCAACATGCTTAAAAGCCGTCAAGATACCATAAATCTAAATTATTCTTTAGATTTTTGATCAAGTCACGAATGTCTAAAGTAAAGAACTAAGGACCCAAAGAACGCTAGATTTTTTCTTGGGAAATTAAAGTAAACTTTCCAAATTTCGAGGGAAATTGAGATATTCAGAGCGAGACAGTTGTAAAAAATACCATGTTTAGGAAAGTGTTAAGAAATAAGGTAGGAACGAACTCCTTATGGATGCTATTCTAAGATAATTTCAATAGACTCATTATTTATAAAAATACGTGCTATGAGTGTGGCCACTCGGTAGCCACCCCTAATTCCGAGGAATAGGGGAATTGGCATTCGAACCAATTTTGTTTCCCGTGATCGTGGCGACTAATTAGACTAGAGTAGAACAACACAACTGGATCTAATAGCACCGCCTAGTTTGGTTTATTATGCCAGGTGGGCATCAAAAAAGAATAGGAAGAAAAAAAGAGAGGCACTTGCCCTTACGAGGATATTATTAAATTCAATTAAAGATTTTAGCGTAGGGTTAAAATCGGTTTAAGCGCTGGACAAATTAAGCCAACAAAAACCTGGTCTAAAACAGTCTAAACTACCTGTCGTCCCTTTTTAAAGGAAGAACTTTATCTCATCCCAGGTAAAGAGAATAAGAGAGCAAAGAAAGAAAAAAAGAACGGGAATGA